GCCTGGTTACTCACAGGAACTAAACTTCTCCAATGACAGCTAAAGTTCTGCCTTGATCACTGTCACTGTATCCAGTCTCGTTTGTCCCCTTTGTCCCCTCTGATCTCTGCACAGACGCCACTTCTTCAGAGGAATCTTCCGTGACCTCTCTACACACACATTGTTCACACCCCTCTTCTGCCACTAGGTGCTGCATTTTTCCCAAAGAATTCTCTGTGTTTAATTGCTTATGTGTTGTTTCTACCAATGAGAAGACGACCCTGGCAGCGCTATGCTGGTTTGAATGAGAAATGGCCCCCATACCTCATACAGCTGGCCCCAGGTGGTGACACTGTTTTAAGGGTTTATACCTGGCCTCACTTCCTGCTCACTGTAGGAGTCCTGTGTAAGGATGAGACTGTGACCAGCCGGCTTCCTGCTCCTGTCCATGTCTTCCTCATCTGTTGCCATGCATTCCCTGTCAAGAACGCCCTCTCTTGAACTACTAGCTAAAACAAACCTTTTCTCCCAACATTGCTTTTGTATGGGTTTTACCTCATAGCAACAGAAAAGTAACCAATACAAGCACAAGAAATGATGTGTCTTGCTCGTGGCTGTGCTGTACAGCTCTACACTAGCACTAAGAGGCTGTCCTCGCTTCACTTCTTTTGCTGTGATAGAATGCCCTCACAGAAAGCGGCTCTGGAGAAAGGAGGTTTAGCTCAGCTCACAGGTCCATGCTTTACCCATTACTGCCAAACAATGCAGAGAGCTGGAGGGAGCTGGCCACACCACATTCATGCTCAGCAGAGAGACATGAATGCACACACATTCACTTGTTTGCTAGCTTACTTGGCTCAATCTTTCCACTCATATAGTTCAGGAACCCCTTCCAAGGGAATGGTGCCACCCACAATAGGACAGATCGCCCCAGAACAAATATCACAGACCATCCCTCACAGACATGCTCAACCCAATGAAAACAATCCATCATTGAGAGTCTCTTCTCAGGATTTTCTAGATCACATCAGGTTGAAAACTAAAAGCAACCATCATAACACCTGACCATCAATAAATACCTACTTGTTGAATGATTAAGTAGAAAAAGAGTCACTGTATATACACTATTATAAAATAAATTCTACAATTCATTTCATAAAACAAGCAAAGTGCATCAGATAGCATTGTATGTTCTTCCATTTATGTAAAAAAAAAGAACAGGAGGCATATAATTTACATGCATGCTTCTATTTGCAGATAACACTCTGGAAAATTACTTCTGAGGAAGAGAATTAGGGACTAAGCAAAGAACACTCAGACCCATGTACAGGTTCATGTGCACATACTGCTATTCAAAGGCATTACAGGAGAGCTTTGCTTTATCAGAAACACACAGCATAATTCTTCACAAATCTAACTCAATATTACAGTGAGTATATACTAAGATGCAACTCTCAAAAAGAATAAAGTAGAGCTACTTGTTTTACAGTGCTTTCAATATACAGAATAAATTTATACTTATTACCTCTTTTCAGGAGCTATGGAATGGAAAACTCAAAAGTTTAAGGATCCTGACTATAATTACAGTGCAGACAGAAAAGCTACTCGGTCTTCTGACTCCTGGTCTAGCACTCTTCTCAGTATACCATATTCGGTGAGCAAGGCTCAAAATGAAGATTTATATCAATGATTGAAAGAAAATGTATCTCACAACGATAAAGATAAAACTTTCAACAGCACTGTCAATAGGCTTTGATTAATCTTAGAGCCATTTAGTGTTCTGGGCATACGACTGAAACATCAGACACTGCTGTAAAGAACACTACTGAGTCATAATGACAGGCAATTCTTATGAAGTCAGATATTTCACAGGCTAAAATGTAGCATAACAAGACTGTTACTACTGCTGTTCAACTAAGAACAGCTACTCAATATGTGCAGAGAAGATAAATACACGTATGTCTCCATCTATCAAAGGGCTTTACACAAAACGTTAATTTCAGAAATATCCAAGTGAAGCCAGTTCTCTTACAGGAAAGCGAAACATGTCTTAGTAGTAGGAAGGCCGTCTGTGGCCCTTCAGCTCTAGACACATAGACCCGACATCCAAGTGGGCCTTTCATCAAAGTCACTGTATTTGATCCAAAGCTGTCATAAAATAAAACAGGTAATTCTGGGGCAAAAAGGAAGTATAATTCCTCAATTCAACAGATACTAAAATAAAGCTTATTATATTCACTACTAGACTAGACAGTAATAAACAAACTAAAGAGAAGTGTTTAATATACAAACAGTAAAGCCAGAAGCTTGTGTTTACTTGGATATCAGAAAATTCTGATGTTTGCAGAACTCTGCAAGGGGGACGATGCAGAGTTCACACTTCTAACCTGACTCAGACGCTACAGTGTTCTCGTCTCAAGAACCAGAACCAAGGCACAATACAAATAAGTCCTCAGTTCACCAAGAAGCTGCCCTTTTCATTGCCCAAACATTATCCTCTGTGTTGATGTCTCCTACTTTCAGAAGCGAGGGAGAGAGAAAGAGAGATAGGTACATAGACAGGCAGGCAGAAAGGTACAGATAAATGATAGATAGACAGACAGACGACAGCTGTATTTAAATCTGGATCTAGCACATGAGGGAAAATATGACACTGTCTCTTCGTTTCCCCCATGTCCCTTCTTGTCCTTCTGCCCCTTAGGCCCCTTTCCCCTCACACACAGTCTAACTTATTTTATAATGCTATTCATAAAACAATGCTTAAGTAGTCATTTAAGCCTTAAAATTTTCTATTTTATTATAACTATTAGCTGAAAAAAGAAAAATTTTCTTTTTTTGTATTGGTGAAAGAAAGATTTCACCAATACAAGTGGGAGTATTAACAAGACCTATGCCAGAAGTATTCCTTCCTCAAAAATATACTGCAAAACATTTAAATGGCATCAATTTGCGGGATTGCTTATGTAATTTGTAAAATATTAACCTATTATTTTAAACTACATATAATATACAGTGCTCCTTTTGAAAACCTGATAAATTTTTCAATGAGGGCCTTACTAAATTTTCGTTTTGGTTTACTTTGATTTGAGATGGAGTAATCTGTGGCCCCATGACGTCTACAACTTGCCTTCACCTTGCTGGAGTCTCTGAAGTAAGCACTGGAATTAGAAGTGCATCCCACCACCACACGACAAAATTTTAATTTTTAAATAAAAATTTAGTAAAGACACTGTTTCAATGAGTATATAAGAGATATCTATAATCACTATTTCAGTTACTGAAGACAATAAGCCGGGAAGCACTATTCCAAACAAGCAAGGCAGGGTCACTGGTTACAAATCACACGGATGAGGGAAGAAGAAAGGCTGACTGTGCCGAAGAGCAGCTCACTTTCTTAAACATCATCATCTACTCTCTATGAAAATATATTTATTCAATTGAATTAATAAACAACCTTTTTTGATAACTTAAGAATTAAACTCTGAAGGATCAAAAATTCTTAAAAGCCAGGTTTTTAAATTACAGCTATCCATTGGAAATAGCTTATTATCCAGCAATGAGAATAACTATTTTTTATTCTACTATACTAATACTAGCATAAGTTATATTCACATTAAGTTATTTAAAATAAATTATATAGAATTATAATCTAAGACTGTCAAACCATCAGGTAATTAAGTAGCCAATTCCATACTCATATTCAGGCAAAGAAATATTATAAATCATAATCAAAGGATGATAAAAGGGTTTTCAAAAGCCAAGTGAAAGAATTGAATGTGAACTCCCCTGAGAGAATCTATATGCCCAAAAGATACCAAGAATCATAAAGGAGAAGAAGAATCCCACGGACCTTTCCAGATCCTGACAGAAAGGATGATCCTGGAGGAAAAAACCACAATTTGCAAAGTGATGTATACATCGGCAAAATTCAATTAATAACAAAAGCAGCCATGATTCTAATATTCAAGTACTTCATTTTCATTTCTATGTCACTGTAGCTTTAAATATGGCCTATGGAAACATTAAGTTCTACTAACCCATTATATTATTCAAGGTAGCATAAACTGAAAAGTTCCCAAAATGCTGACTGTAAATTTTTTCATCAGAATGTTTCCACCTATGGAATACATTGAGCTGCCCAAGGAAACAACAAAGATTTAGCTCAGGATTTCTCAAGCACTGCACTCCTGAAATTCTGGCCTGGATAGTTTTCACTGGGGATAGGAATGAAGGGACTGTTCTGTGCATATGAGGACGTTAACAGGATCTAGACGGTATCCACTGTCACTGCAGCACGGAAGCCTAGGACTCTGCCACATGTCCCCAGTGAGCAAAACTGTTTCTTAGTAATAATTACCAACATCAGTGACATATACATGAGGTAAGTAGGTAGGTTAGATAGATAGATTAGATAGATTAGATAGATAGATAGATAGATAGATAGATAGATAGATAGATAGATAGATAGACAGACAGACAAACAGACACAGATGGACTGACAGGTAGACTAACATATTACTAGGTATTGAGCAGATAATCAAACTAAAATTAAACAGAATTTTAAGTTTGCAAATCTGAACAAACTAGGAATAAAAGAATTTAAGCTAGGTCATTCTTTTGTATTGTGAAAGAAAGCAAACACACTGTCGATCTAAGGCAAACCGGTTCATGGTTCTGGAGAAACAGTGAAGGCACGGCTTTCTCCTCATTCTTACTTCCATCTTTAAATGATACCCTACCTTCCTGCTGTCTCCCAGGAATAAAAACAACTGCAGTCTGTCCGTTCAGCTTTGAAGGCAAGAGAAGCGCTTTCTGTCCTCTGACTCTATGGGCGGCTCCTGAAGTGCTCTCCAGGTGACCTGGGGTGACTGACAGCTAAGTCTATTCTGCACTTACAAATAAGTTTAATAGAACCTGCATGCTAACAAGAGTGATATTTGTTGCAGCAAACCAGAATTAGTTTTGTGCTCACTTATTACCCAGACACTTCTCTGCCAGCACCGGATGGCTCCAGAGCTTACCATTGATGTGACCGATCGCGCATCTTCTTCGTAATTCACTACAGGAGGCGGTTCTTTCCCATCATTTTCTTGTACTTTTTGCTCCAGTAATTCTTTCTGTGCTGCACACTTTGCCTCAGTGCATCTCAGCTGCTGGACTGACTGTTTCAACTCCTCAAGTGCCTGTTTTTGCCCCAGAAGAAGCACAATGCTACAACAGAATAAAATAAATAGACATTATTTCAACTCAAGAAGTAAAAGCATTAATAAAAATGTGTGTGTGTGTGTGTAAGTATCTGGGTCTGTTTTTATCTGTATGTGTGTATATGTGTGTATGTGTCTGTGTGTGTCTACATGTGTCTGTGTGTGTCTGTGTGCCTATGTGTCTATGTGTGCATATGTGTGTATATGCATGTGTGTTTCTGTGTGTGTGCAGATTCTGCTTTTGTAAGCTTCATTTTCCTCTACAGAACTCCTTCAGAATCATAAAAAGATGAAAACAGATTTTAGTAGCAGGATTACAAAATAGAAATAGGTCATTCAAGACACTTTCAAATAAATAATGGTCTATGGCACCTATTATCTTTTATACATAAACTATCTACCTCACCAGGAGTTCAGCTTAGGAATACAGACCCTAAACTGACTGAAAAAGAAATGACAAACTTAAAACAGTATGCTAATTTCAAACCTCAAGAATCAAACACTTCAAGTATGAAATGTTCCTGGGGTAAAATTAATAAAATTGGGAGCTAACCTGCACACTGAACTGTGGGTATATTGTAAGGTTGTGTTTTAAGTCTGGAAAGTAAGCACAGCAGGGATTCCGACTTGACCATGACAGTGTGAGCCTAAGTCTACGAATCTTTCTCCTACGAACAAAATGGAGACAACAGATTTCACCACTCCTTCTTTTGGGAGCTTGCCCTCAGGGCTTACACAATAGGAACTACAAGCTTATAGGCCCAAAACAAGGCCACTAGAAAGAAGAAACCATGCTGGCAGGAATGTCTACCCCATAAGTATATGATACTAATACCTTAAAAGTAAGTGTACTGTGATAAATTATTAGTAGATACCAGACGACAGATTGGAAATCAGGGAATGCTTCAGAATTAGATAGCAAGGTAACTGACTTAAAGTCAGAACATAGCCAGCATAAATACAAAGAGATATAACCACACTGAGCTATTGAGCTGCATCTTCTGCTGTTTTGAGAACTCAGTACCAATCTAACTGAGCTGGGCACAACCTCAGTGACCATAGTAAAAATGTTGGTCTCTTCAATAACAGGGAACAATGTGAAGTTGGGGAAAATGGAACTTAAAGAGCATTTGTAGGAGACCCAGAAATGTCCAGAAGACAGACTGCTCTAAACAGCAGAATTTAATAGTGATAATTACGATGTGCATCATCATCATTCAGTAAATCTGTGACCTATTTTCAAAATCTATACAGATTTCTTGGTAAATTCATGCTGGCTTGCGTATTAGTTGGTAATTGCTTTTTTCTGCAATAAGTTGGCACTTCTACTTCTCAGAAAATCCATTCAGAAAATGTTAATTATTAAGACAATCATTTTTGTGAGAAAAAATATTAGGAGACCTAAGAAAAGATTACACTTACAGTATTTTTTAAACTTTGTGCTTCCTAACACACAGACCAAAAGCAAAGTACCACAGAAACCACAATGACTATGACAACAGTACAAGAGATAATTCTAAATATATCAGAAAAGATGCCATAATATAGTTTCACACACCCAGAAGATGATTCAAAAATGATTTAATCACATGTATACAAAATTTTTTGATATATTTAAAAGCAATACTCTAAAAGCACTGGATCAGTAGTTTTACATAAAGGCTAATAGAAAATGCAAAAGAAAATAACCAAAAAAGAGCAATTGTCCAGGGTAAGAGAAAGAAAAATAAGCTTTGCAATAAAATGGAATAATAGTTGCAAAAAGTAAATGTCAAGCAAATAGCCAAATAAAGAAAATTATCAGTGTATTTACAGAAACAAACTCACACAGATTAGGGTAACAGGTGCAGGGTTGCAAAGATTCAAGCTAGACAGGGTCCCAGATAGGGGGAAATGGACATGGGTCCATCCATAGCTAAGAAGAAATCTGTAATTGGTACCCATTTGTAAAGAAAAAATTAATTTATTCCAAAAAAAATTTCAGTTGGTATACTAATCACTAAAAGAGAGCAAAACAATAGTAAGGATGTCTCAAAAAGGCATATTATCACCTACCTAAAAAAAAACTATAATACACATCAGTCTACGAATATATATGTATAGCTTAAACAAAATTTCCACATCTGGACTGACCATACATCCTCCATAAGCTGAAGACCACCTAATAAAAACTAACACCAGGCATAAGAACCCCTCTTATTAGTTGTTGCTCAGGGTTGTCCAAGAGACTCCGAAAACATAAAACTTTTACTGCCCTTGATTGCCCCGCGAAATGCACTTCAGACCAGGGCCCAGAGGTCCCTGAGTTGGAACTGACTTGAATGTTTTTTCCCTCAGGACTAGCTCTCAGGGTGCCAGAAGGCACCAGGCAAGCTTCCAAAGGAGTGGGGCAACCAAATCTTACCAATATATAATGCCGATGAACTACATCAACAGCCAGCATGGTACAATAATCCCAAGAGTGCACTAGTAGCATGCATACCTTGGCAGTAATCAACAGCTCTCTATTTAGACCATTCAATAAGAGGGAAACCATGAATGGTCCTGGAAACCTAGTCAACTACCCTGGGTGAGTGAAGTAATAGATCTTGGAAGAGAACCTACAACCAACACTTTACTAAACCAACACAATCCCTAATTATATTCTAAATATTTGTCCTTATACCCTCAGATAAGTGCAGGCCTCACCCCTCATCAAATAAACTTCTTTTTGGAACAAACAGATACCATTACTGAAAACTACAACCAACCAAAATGCAGAGTCATGGAGTCAAGAATGAATGATAAGTGTCTACAAAACACAGTCCTAAAGCTCATGGCACAGGGGAAGAGGGTAAAAAGAAAGACAAGAGCCAGAGTATCGGGGAGTTCACTGTTAAGATTGTGTTTCCTAGTAGTGACAGAAGCAACACTCAAATTCTCACCAACATGAACTGAACAAGGACAATAATAGACACACCAAAGTCAACTAAGGTGAAACCCCACGAGACTTCAACCCTATACAAAGAACTACAGGTAACTAAACAATGTTGAGAGTAGGCGAAATAGTCCTCTCTAGGGAAGAGCAAACCAATTGGTTGACCAATACCAAATATCAAACCTGAAAACATATACACACACGGAATAGTATACAGACGGAGTGCGGAGTGGTTATGTTTAGGAATCTATATGTGTGTGTGTGTGTGTGTTATATATATATATATATATATATATATATATATATATATTCATGTAAGAAAAATTAATAAAAAAGAGGTCATGAATTTGAAAGAGATCAAAAGGGAGTATATGGGAGGGTTCTGAGGGAAGAAAAGGGGAGGGTGAATAATATAATTATGTTACAATTTCAAGAAAAGAAAAAATAATTCAACCATAATAAAAATAAAGCAAGCAGGGCCGGGTGGTGGTGGTACACGTCTTTAATCTCAGCACTCGGGAGGCAGAGGCAGGCGGATTTAGGTGAGTTCGAGGCCAGCCTGGTCTACAAGAGCTAGTTCCAGGACAGGCTCCAAAACCACAGAGAAACCCTGTCTCGAAAAACCAAATAAATAAATAAATAAATAAAGCAATCTAAAGAATAAGAAAAAAGTTAGGCAGGTATTTCAATACAAAAGATACAGAGATGGCAAAATGGCACACGAAAGGATGATCTACATTAGTCATTAGGAAAATAAATATTACAATGATCAGATGTCTTTAAAAATGGCCTTAATGAGAACCATTAATTTTTTACCATATTTCAACCTCTGGTACCCAGAACTGGGAGAGAGAAAGTGCGTGCTGTTTTCATTGCCTTTAGTTCAGCAGCCCAAGAAAGAATGAAAGCACCTGAAGGAACTCTTGAGGGATTATGCTATGAGTTAAATGCCAATCCCCAAAAGTTACACACAATATGACTCCAGTTGACTAAGAAAACAAATCTGCACAAAAGGAGGTGGATTAATAGCAGTCAGGGACACACGGAGAGGGCAGAGGACAGGATGGCTACAGTCAGGGGCACACAGAGAGGGCAGAGGACAGGATGGCTACAGTCAGGGGCACACAGAGAGGGCAGAGGACAGGATGGTACAGTCAGGGGCAGAGGACAGGATGGCTACAGTCAGGGACACACAGAGAGGGCAGAGGACAGGATGGCTACAGTCAGGGGCAGAGGACAGGATGGCTACAGTCAGGGGCAGAGGACAGGATGGCTACAGTCAGGGGCACACAGAGAGGGCAGAGGTCAGCAGAGCTACAGCGGCACAGCATGAAGAACCTTCAGCCTAGGTCTCTGCATACAGCTTATAACCACGGCTACCTGGTTCTAAAAATAGGAAACAAATCAAACGATACAGCACAACTATTACCTCGCAGTGCCTGGATCCCAGGCACTCCCGGTTCCGACATACTCTAGGGATACCCTTTTAAATCTTCCCTTCAGAAGCTGTGGCTACTGGGAATTTAGAGACACATATCAAATTCAAAGATTTAATTTAAGACCATTCTATATGATGAGGACAAAATAATAATTCTATTAAGTAGAAATTCAATAGGATTCTATTACTTAGAAATAATTTAAGAATATGAACATATAATAAACATATCAATATTTCTGAATAAATATAGTTTTATTCTTTTATTACTTTCAAATAACAAAGTATCTGGAGATAATAAAATATTACAAAAATAAAAATAATACTCTCTATAAAATATTCAGTCTCACTATGTAGCCCAGGTTGGACATTTATAACCACGCCTAGCCTTAAAAACAATTATAAGTTCATGTTTTAAACTAGGGAAAAATTTATCCTCATTATATATGTGTATTTATAGAAAGAGATATCTATATTATATGTGGATGGATGGATGGATGGATGGATTGACGAGAGATAGATAGATAGATAGATAGACAGACAAACAGACAGACAGATAGATAGATATAGATGACACAAACTAAGTACTTACCCAGGAAATACTGAAATATTACGGGAAAAAACATAAATGGATCACCATACAGTCCTATTCAGAACATTTGTTTAATAAAAGATTTTAAGATACAATATGGAGGCAAGGTTCAGTCCACCAATTTCTGAGTCAGGGACAGTCAGCAGTAACTGTTTAGTCACCTAAATTGACTTCAAATTTTAATACTGTACGCTGAAGCTAACAGTAAGAACTCAGGATAACAAAGGCTACATGACTGGGCTCACTAGGTCTCAGCCCTGAAAGCCCCGTCAGGCTAACCCTTCTAACTCTTAAAAGCTCTATTAGCCTGCGGGGCCTCAGCAGGAAGTTGGGTGAAATCCGAGGCCAGCTCCACCCCTACCTGTGGGTACCTCTGTTCCAGGGTGCCCTGCCTGGATCGGCCTCGGTACAGGACTGGCATGTACCATGTGCTGCTCTTGGGCTGAGCTGTTAGAGGCCGAAGTCGCGGCTGAACGCCCCAACTCTACAGCAGCCAGTGCTGCGGGGGCCATTAACGGCACACGCCCTCACGCACGTGTGTCCGAGGCGCCAGCACCGCGGACTGGAGGTGGTGAGATTTTCAAACAGAAAAACAAAATAGGGGTGCCAGGGAGGAAAGAAGAAACAAAACAGAAAAACCTCATCCGGGCCAAAGAAAAGAAAACTCTCATGGTCCACGGTGAATAAAGATTGCAAAACAGAACAGCCAGCTCCACCCAAACTTGGGCAAAACTGTTATCAGGAAAGATTTCGGAGAAAGCTTGTACTTCCTTCTAGGTGGGTATTTTTGTACAGAAAAAGCAATTTGGTGATCAGAGGGCAGGGAAATGAACCTTGTGTAGGTCTAGAGGTAAGAAAACTATCCAAATGCTTCTTAAGAAGTGGGGAAATGCTTAAATATTTAGAAGCAACTTTTGTATGGTATTTATAGAAATAAAGGTGGCATCTAAACGTCTATTTTCTGTGGTAGAACAAGATGACGGGTGCTAGCACTCACTAAATGAAGACTACTGGGCCAACCAGGAAACTGAAGCTGCATTGGGAGCACTATGACTGATTCAGCTTTGATAGGGGCAGACATGAGCGCTTGCTTCTAGGGCATTCAACAGGCATACCAAGTATGCCAATTATAAGTGATAATAATGAACATAAGCCATCTTCAGACCGCTAGAGAAGAGGCACACAGCCTAGCAACATGCCTTCCGAAACCCCAAACTGGGCTATCTGAGCAGCAGAGAGTAAGCTGGCAAGAGAGACACAAACGAGTAATCAGCCAAGCCAGATGTGATTCCATGGTCCAGAAAGACAGCTGCCCTACTCCAGGCCATGGGTAATCGCTGAGATTCTTATATCTGCAGTAATGGGACAAAAGCTAGATCTATGTGCGCTGAAAACTAAGTGGTAATTGAGAAAACGGATGGGAACTGCTCCTAGAATGAGTTCAGACTCAGAGACGAGAAAGCAAAGGGCAAAATGGGGGAAATAATGACAAAGGGGGGGGGGGCTTCAGCAGTTGAAGGTACAACTGAGTGACAGCACAGCATTGCCTGGCAGATGTCAGCTGAGTCCTGGACCCAGCACCTCAGAGATGGGGGTGGGGAGGACGTTGGCCGCGTAGTCTTGAAGACTGGTGGTTCTGGGTCAATACTGAAAAGGTAAGTATAAGGTCCCATCTGGAAGGAAAAGGTAAATAGATAAAATAATACAAATTTTCTGAGAAAATAAAAGATGGCAATACTTTAAAAAAAAATCACAAGGAACGACACAGAAGAGTAAATTCTACTGTAAAAAGATGGGCATTAGGATGGGTACTAAGGGGAAAGATGTGCATTTCAGGTATCTAGTTAATGCTTGGGAGTTTTCTGTGATACAGAAGTTCATCTGCTGACTACAATAAAGGAAGTGGGAAAATCAGAAATTTAATCAAAGCAGAGAATATCTGAGAAGTTATACCAAAATATAAAAGCTAGTGTAGATAAGAGAGACCCAACACATCACAGAACCCTCGAGAGCTTTGTAATCTGAAAGCAGTAGTGAGAGTTTGAGAGCGAGAAGTTTATGTTGCAGTCAGAATTGGGAAGACCACGCTAACAGCCATGTTGTGGTTTCCGTCATCACAGCTGACGATCAGTAAAAAGGACACTGCACAAGCTGAGGAGAGGTGCCGCTGTTACAGTGCCCTCCGTGCAATCCTCAGCGCATGAGCTGCAATCCCAAGCACCCACAGAAAACCAGATGTGTTTCTGTGCATCTGTAGCCTCAGTGCTAGGCAGGATGCAGGGAGCAGGAGCACAACGGTCAACCAGCACACCCAAATAAATGGGCTCAAGGTGGTTCAGTGAAAGCGCCTGACTCAAAACACAAAGCAAACAAAAAAACCCACAAATGAAATGGAGATATTGAAGATAACCAACATTAAACTTTGGTTCCACATACATACACATATATGCATGTATACACACACACCACATGCATACACATGCATGCATGTATAAAACACCACATGCATACACATATATGCATATATGCATACACATTTATGCATACATGTAAACACACGCACACACACAAACAGAGAGAGAGAGAGAGAGAGAATAAAATAAAAGACAAGAGGGTTAGGAAGATGGCTCAATTAGTAAAGTTCTTACACAGAAGCATGAGTGCCTGAGTTCAATCCCCAGCACCCACAAAAACAAGTTATTGCTATTGATCTTGGTGACCCCACTGAAACTTGATAATATGACCCTATTGATAAAGACAACACCTACCCTGATCACAGAACATGAAGAAATCAGGCTGGTACTGACCTAAAAGCTTCCTTTCTGCTGGCTAGGTTTCACAGTGCAATATCATACTTTGTGGGCTATTAGAGAAGAAAACCTATCAACAGTCTGACACAGCCGTGAACCGTACAAACTACAGGAATGAAAAACATAACAAGATAACCATTTGAGCAACAGTGGCGGGAATGCTATGGGAGTAATCAACAACTTTTAATCATACTTAATTAAGACCTATCCTACAGAAGGAAACTCTTCCCTGGAACTATGATCAAGAGCAAAAACCTGTGGCCAATGAGGTCACAGGCATGACCACTCTTAGTCTGCAACACGCATAGAATTAAAATGACCCCTAAATTTGTATCCTTATACTCACAGATGAGTATAACTCTCACCCTTCACCAGAGAGGCTTCTTTATGCAGTGGACGGCTGTTATAGAGAGATGAACAACCAGCCAAAGTATGCAGAATTATGTGACCATGCTCACATCCAGGTCACACACTTTTCTCCACAAGGCTCACACAATACTGTAGAAAGGGAGTGAGAAGTCAGGAAAGAATGCTGCAAAGTTACATCCTTTGGACACTCATGACCTCACAGAAGCCGTGGCTGACAGCACGAGACCTGCACAAGGTCAAGCCCGTCAATATTCCAGCTCGGAGAAGGAAGGCCTCACCCCTAGGTAGGGAGCTATCAGCAATTGCAGAGAAAGGAAGAGGCAGTCTTCTGCAGCAGTGTGGTAGGCTGTCCATGTTCCACTGGGTGGCGCCCTACACCCATGTGCATACCAACAGCACTGAGTGAGTAGATGGGAGGGGGAGAAGGAGAGGAGAAAGAAGAAAAAGAACAACAAAACAGGAAGAAGTTGGGAGGATAAGGTGGTGTGGGAAGAGTCAAAGAGGAAGCAACAAGTGTGGATATAATCTAAATAAATTGTATTCATGCATACAATTACTAAAGAATAAATCAAAAATTAAACGCCTTAAAAGCCAAGAATACAAGCACCTATAACCCCATGCTAGAAACTCAAGAGAATTCCTGAGGGTTGTTGGCCTGCCTATCTAGTTGAATCATCAAGTTCTGACCCAATGAGACCCTGTTTCTAAAAATAAGGTGGAGAGCAACTGAGGCAGACACTACACATCGAATATGGTCTCCATACACGTTCTTGTACCTGCACACATAAGCAAGTACACACATTACCAAAAATACAGATACACACATTCTTGTACCTTCACACATAAGAAAGTACACATATCTAACACATGTTCTTGTACCTGCATGCATGATGGAGTACACACATTTACCAAAAGACAGAAATGTATTAAGACAAGTAAAATCAAAAGACCTAGAATGATATTTCAAGTCAAAAATCAGCTAGACAAACACCAGGAAAAATAACAAAGCTGATATTTATATGCAAAGTAGATCAGTGTGTTCTAATTAATTTATTTGATGTCTTTTAACACAATAGCAGTCAATTTCTAGATAACACTTCCCTGAATCCCTTTAAAAAGGGATTTACAGTAAGTCTTGCAAAAAATAAATGTTGAGCAACAAAGATAGCCTTTAACGAAGGATTCTTCATGAGGTAATTCAAACTGTTAAAACATTAAGACATCTGATTGTGGCATTTCATTTACAAATCCAATACCACTTTTCTAGGATACATCTGTCTTAGTTAGGGTTTCTAATGCTGTGATGAAACACCATGACCTAAATCTTGGGGAAGAAAGGGTTTATTCTGCTGACATTTCCAGGTAATAGCCCATCACTGAGAGAACTCAGGGAAGGAACTCAAGCAGGGCAGGAATCTGGAGGCAGGAGCTGAAGCAGAGGTCATGGAGGAACACTGCTTACAGGCTTGTTCTGCATGACTTCCTCGGTTTGTTTTCTTATCGCACCCAGGCCCAGTAGCCCAGGGGTGGCCCTGTCCACAGAGAGACAGGCCTTTCCACATTAATCACTAATCAAGAAAATGCACCACAGACTTGCCCACAGATCAATCTCAACTGAGGTTGCCTTGTCTCAGATGACTCTAGTTTGTATCAAGTTCACATGAAACTAGCTGTTAGACATCACATTTTACAGAAATACAAAAAGAGTTCTCCAGAGTCACACAACGGAACTACACAAAATTCCACTATTTTAACATGAAAACTTCCATTTCTGGAAATGCCACATTCACACCAGCATGTAGCAAGTATTTCTGTAAAAAATACATGCTTTCGTTTGTACTCTTTCAGACGGTATCTCTGGTACTCACTCAGACTTCTTTTCACAGGTCTCAGAAGATTCTTCAATCCTCTTCTCCAGCTCCAGGACAGCCTCCTCCTTGTGTAAAAGCATCTGTTGTGTCTGCGTGAGCTCTTCTGCTAAAGTCTTCAACCTGGAAGGAGGAGTCGCCATTATCAATAACACACTAAATACGCTCATCTGCGCACACCCGACTCTCAGAGTGTGGCCATAAGGTGTATCTGGAGAAGGCGCCTATCCTTAGGAACCAAACTACTCAGGGTATCACAGCACTTTAGTCAATCACAAGTCAGAGACCCTGGGGCTACTCTGCCATGTGGCGGGGACAAAATGGGGGATGCCATGGGCCACAGCTGTAGAATGGGGAGCGATTCTGTCATAACCCCAACAAAAGGTTTAAACAACAGCGTGAGAACCACAGGGGACAGTAGTCAGGGTGTCCTGCTGTCAAAAGAGCAACAGCAACGGCATGTGTCAGCTTGGCCACATCTAAGGAAAGGAAGGCTGCCACATTCCCTTGCTCTCCTGTCCCCTGCATGAACCCAGCCAGCACTTCCTCCCCGACTCCTTCAGGCATTGTGCTGTATTTTGGACATTTACCATGCCCTCTGGTTCACAAATTAGGGGTCTCTGGAGTAACTAGTCCAAGCACATCTCAAGATAATGAGGGTGTGGTACAAATACGGTAAGCCTATGGAGTGAGTGAACACGGACAACCCTGCTAGAACAGCATGTCCTCAGACTGCCCAGCAGAACTCCTACAGCAGGCCTGCCATGCCACCCCACACAATTTGCCCACTAGTTTCTGTCATTAGATAGTCCAGAAGCTTCTCCATTCCAAAAACAACAAGACAACAAGGACTTCTCAAATGCTTTCATTTGTTCAATATTTTTCTTGATTTTTATACAATTGTATTTATTTTTCACTGGTTTTCCCTCTCTTTGACATATCTTCTCATAAATCATTCGTCCATTTCTTCCCTTGCTTGATTTTATTAATTTTTAACATTTTAGAATCTGTATTATTTTTGCCCTTCTATTCTCATCGGTACTGCAGCTGTTGTTCTTAACTGGTTCACACAGTATCTCTACACCTCATTTGAACCTCTATAGTCACTGTGCCTTGCTTCTCTCCTTCCGCGACACCACTGGGGATTGAGGCCAGCACCTCAAAAGACTTTGGGGAGGGGGCTTTGTTGCTGAGCTACACACCATCCCAGTTGAGAGAAACTGTCCTTTACTCTGTACCCACGACCTGATCACAGGCAAACCTTCCCAGATATCCCAGATAAAGGACACAACAACCCCAGCTGACAATCCAGCTCCAAGAAATCGCACCTGGAGGGAGCCTAGAGTCCTGTGCCCAGACATTCAGAGTGACAAACGACAGGAGAAATGGCACCTACAGGGGATTTCACATGGACGGTTCCCATTCCCTGGAGCACACCCTGCTAACTGGGGGGAGCTAGCCAGAGTGCCCGTCTGTAGACCACTCTTTACAACATCATACATTCATGGAATACCATAGCAAAACTGCAATATTATAATGTGCACTGATAAAAGCATTAAAAAGTGTAAGAGAGACATTCTTTACATTTATACATCCCTACAGATGTATAAATCGAAACATAGGAGCTCAAGAAACATGAAAAACAGCCAACCATTGTTCTCCAAAAGTCTCTGATTTCCTAGCAAATTACCCCAAAAATGTCTAAATGAATTATATCTAGACAAAGAATTCAAAAGACTGATTTTAAAATGATCAATGAATTTAAAGAGGACACAAATAAACAGCTGACTAAATTAAGGAACATAATATAGAACACGAAAGAGCAATTCAATAATGAGAGTCTGAAAAAGAACCAAACAGTAATACTGAAAATTGACGGCTCAATTAATCAAATAAAAACCTCAAATCTTCATCTATACACTAATCAAATAATGAAAGACTACTTAGGCTTGAAAAAATATCACTATATTAAGATAATAAAAAAGAAAACAAAAAAGTGAAATAAACAGACTGGGCCAGCAAGATGTCAGAAGGTAAAGACACTCAGGGGCCCGATGTAAACTCTAGAATCTGTATCACATGGCTTAGGGTTTCTATCCCTGGAAAACAAAACAAAACAAAACATGAATGACCAAAAAGCAAGCTGGGGAGGATTTATTTGGCTCACACTTCAACATTGCTATTCATCACTGAAGGAAGTCAGGACAGGAACTCAAACAGGGCAGGATCCCGAAAGCAGGAGCTGATCCAGAGGCCATGGAAGAGAGATGCTTACTGACTTGCTTATCATAATTTGCTCAGCCCACCTTCTTTTAGAACCCAGGATCAGCAGCCCAGGGAGTGTACCACCCACAATGGGCCGTGCTCTCCCTCAGTGATAGCTGATTGACAAAATGCCTTGCAGTTGGGTCTCAAGAAGGCATTTCATCAGCTGAGACTCCTTCCTCTGATGACTCTAACTTGTGTCAAATTGGCACACAAAACCAGCCAGTACAACTGACCCCTTGTCAACTTGACACAAACACATCACTAGTAAGCCACATCCTTTCCTTTCTTACTCATCCCCAAGATCGCACATTAAAATCATAAATAATTTTAAAAGCCCCTCAGTCTTAAAAAATTCAGTCTTTAAAATTTCAACCTTTTTGAAATATCCAATCTTTTTTAAAAGTCCAAATCTTTTATCTGTGGACTCCTTTAAAGTCAAAATTAAATATCTTCTTTAAGACAGAAGAACCAGGACACTCTCACAATCTTAACCAAGAGTATAAATGACTCAATACTCAATTATCTGGGCTCCACTCACGATCTTCTAGACTCCTGCAAAGGGCCTGAGTCACTCCACCAGCCTGTCCTCTGCAGCACACACAGCTTTTCTTCAAGGCACCGCTGGCTCCACTCCACTGCTGCTGCTGTTCCTGATGGTACTGGCATCTCCAAAATGCTGGGGTCCCTTGCTGCAAATGGGCTGCACTTTCACCAATAACCTCTCATAGGTTCTCTTCATGGTGCCAAGCCTCAACTTTTTTGCATGACCCCTACAGTCCTGGGCCTTTAGCTGTCACTGAGGCTGCACCTTCACCAATGGCTTCTGGCCTCTCACAGTGCCCAGTCTCAGCTGCTCTCCATGACCCCTTCATCCCTTCAAAACTAGTACCACCTCGGTGACTCTTACACATTACCGAGTCCTGCTGGCAGCATGAGGTACAACCTTGGTTGCCTCTGGAACACAGTTTCTCTGTGCTCTCAGGAAACACTTCCCAAAAGATTTTTTTCTCAGTACTGTTGGTCTCCTCTTAAACACTGCTAATTTCTCTGCTCTAGCTGACCAGCATCAAGTATACCAGCAAAGCAAAATTTTGCTTTAGTAGCTCTGGTATGTAATTTATCGCAGCTAATCAGAACCACAGAATCTTAATTTAAAATAACAAACAGCCCTGGTAGAGCCTTTAAATTTCCCTCTAAAACTTCACAAGCACTGCTCTTAACATTCTTATCTTCCACACTCCAAAAGAACATCCCACGGAGCTCTAAACACTCAATGGTTCTAGCCCAAAGTTTCAAAGTCCTCCCACAATCCTCCCCAAACATGGACCCACAGAAATATCCCACTCCTGGTACCAGTTTATCTTAATGAGAGTTTTGATTGCTGTGACCAAACATCATGACTGAAAACCAAGTTGGGGAAAAAACAGTTTATTGGCTCACACTTCAGCATTGCTGTTCATCACTCATGGAAGTCAGGACAGGAACTCAAACAGGGCAGGATGCAAGAAACAGAAGCTGATGCAGAGGCCATGAAGGGGAGCTGCATGGATTGCTTATCATGACTTTCTTGGCCCACCTTCTTATAGAACCCAAGACCAGCAGCCCAGGGATGGCACCACCACCATGGCTGGATCCTCCCCATTGATCACTAAGTGAGAAAATTCCTTACAGCTGGATTTCATCGAAGTATTTCCTTAACCAGGCTCCTTTCTCTGATGACTCTAATGTTTGTCAAGTTGACACACAAAATATATGGGGAATCATGAAGAGATAGTCTTTAAGCAGTCATTAAAAACAGAGTATAGCTACCAATGTAATTAACAGTAATAATAGGATGGGCTACTGGAGGGAATTAAAAGGAGGGTGAAGGGCTGATATGATCAAGATACATATGTATGAGATTTTCAAAAACTAATAAAAAATAGAAAACATATCAAGAGAAACAATATAGGAAATTTCCAAAATCTTTAAACGTGGGCATCCCCATACAGCAGTCATTGAGAACCTCAAGTAGACATGACCAGAGAAAAACCTCCCCTGAACATATTATAACTAAGTAGACATGACCAGAGAAAAACCTCCCCTGAACATGATATAACTAAGGTGTTAAGAGAACAAAACAGAGTGAGAGTGTTTAAAGCTCCAAAAGAGAAACACCCAGCACTTATAGTCACAAACCCAGCTGCATAGCAGTCGTCTTCCCGGCAGAAATTCTAAAGGCCAGGAAGGAGTACATGCAATGAACAAGATTACTATATTCGGAATCCCACAGATCAAAGAAGAAAGAAAGACTTTCCAAGATAAACATAAGTCAAAAGAATCCAATATCAGTAAAACAGCATTATACAGTATCCTACATAATTCAGTAAACCATAAAAGCTATAAGATGTATAATGTAAAAACTAATAAACATGGACTATTCCAAACAACTGGAAAGAAATCCAAAGATGACAGGAACTAATATATTACCCTTCAATAATAATCCTAAATATAAATAAACTCAGCTCTTCCATAAAAAGACAGGGAGCGGCTAACTGGATTATAAAACAAGAAGCACAGTTGATTGCACACAAGAAACTCACCCTATCAACAAAAACATGTAGTCTGAATGGAGAACTTAGAAAATGACATGGCAAGCACACAAGATCCTCATTAAACAAAAGAGCCACACCCACATGCAACAAAAATCATCTTTTAGCCAAGCCGATCAGAAGAGACAAAGAATTTTACAATATATTTATAAAGTGAACAATGCACAGGACAATTTATATGCTCTGAAAATCTGAGCACTCAAGTTTATGAAGCAAACACTCCAGAGCATAAAGGAAAAACTAACCTTCAACACAGTAGTGGAC